AATGGTAAGGGGGGGGGGGGTGTTATTGGAGTTGTTCATGATCAACAGTGTATCTGCTAGGCACATGTTGCATCCATTGGTCCTGTTTGAGTGACAGTAGGCGTGCAACCGGACAATGTTGGTGAAAGGCTGCATTACCAAAGAATTTGGAGAGAGAGAGAGAGAGATGCAGTGGATTCACGCTTCAAGGTGGCCTGCATCACTGGAGAGAAGACACTCACCCTGCACAAGCCCTATCAAATGCCACGTGCAGTTCCAAGCTGAATGGCATGCTCCATGCCTCGCTTCAACACACCGCGCGGTATTTTTCACGTAGCTCATCATGCTTCAAGGTAGCCTGCATCACTGGGGAGAAGCCCCTCACTCTGTACAAGCCTTCACGAGTGCTGTGTGCTCCTCATCGAGGAGTGACACCTTTTTCCAGTTATATCTACGTCAGGTGTATTGATGTGCAGATAAGTCATGCATTGAGGCAGCCTGTATCACGGGAGAGAAGCAAATCACCTGGCAAGAGCAGTAGCGAGTGCTGTTCCTCATCGTGGAGTTCCGTTAAAACTAAAAAACATGCGCCAATGGAAGTTGCTTCAGCTCCTTCTCTGCCATGATCAAGTTGCTACACAGGTCCTCATCGTGGAGTCGTATCTTTTTCCAGTGTACGTCAACAGGCATGTTGATGTGTTCCGCGACAAAGTGCAGTGGATCCATGCTTTGAGGCGGCCTGAATCACTGGAGAGAAGCCAATCACCTTGCGAGAGCAGTAGTGAGTGCGTGTGTAGTTCCTCGCCGTAGAGTAACGTAGAACATGCACAAGTGTAAGCTGCATGGCACCCTTCACATCTCGCTTCAGCTCGTTCTCTGCCATGACCAAGTTGCTACAGACCTTGCAAGCTTATTTCATACACCACTGCCACAGGCTATGTCTGTCAGCTAGCTACAGCAACAATATCCTCTTCATGAATGTTCAAAACTATTTTCTCGGGTCAAAATCAGCTCTCCACTGTCTACAACACAGCATGATCGCATGTGCATGGACAGGATCCGACTGCGATGCAGCTCTCCTGGAAGGAAGCAAAGTTCTCCTGTCGCCAATGCCATCGCTTGTCAGTGTCACTCAAGAAAAAATAAATTTCAATTTCAGAAGCTACGAATTCAACGCATTCCAGTCTGCTTCCACCAAGACTACTACAGGGCATCTGATTTGACAAGGTATATCAGTAGGACTTGGAAAAGTCACAGTAACGTTTGCAAGATCACTAGCCATTACAACAACTATCAGAACATCAAAACAAACCTCGTGTAGATCCACAATTTCACATTCAACCCATCGATCTTCATTCAATTTTAGGTTCCCTTTCCCGCCAGCTGGACATGCATGCATGCATGCTCTCACCAGGCCGGGAGTCGTCAAACGCCGGTACTTGACGACTCCCGGGATCCCTGGCTCTCACTTGTCAGCCAGCTCACACGTCTTGTCGTGCACGCGCAGACGTCCAGCACACACGCGTGTCGAAATGTGTTTTTTGGCGGGTAGTCGGCAAAAAATTAAGTGAGGGTCCCTTTAGTCCTTCGCCTTCCATACACCACATCCGCGGTTGCCATGGGCTGTTGTCATGGTATTACATACATTACAATCAACTTTGCGAATAACGACACTCGGCGGGGCATCAGAAAAGTGTCCTTATTCGCGAAGTGTCCTTATACCCGAAGTCCCATTTGAGTGTATGTGAACCCATATTTTGTATAGTATGACATGTATATCAAAATGAAGCTCTTTTCATGCTCTATGCCAATGTGTTCTCTATTTTCATATTACAATTGAAAGGAACTATAAAGTCAATATGGAAGGGAAATTGATTGGAAAATTAGCATTTTGCAAGGTTTGGAGCCATCTACAGGGACATGTACATGACATGTATGATGATAACTGTACAATCATGTAGACCTACAACTACATGACATTGTAGTTGTGCTGATCATTCCAACATGTATTTAGAAGCAAAAATATAAAAATATAAAAAGCCCCCCCCCCCCCCTGCATCTTCTTGCATGTGTGCCTTTATCCATCACCATGCATGGCATGGGTTCTGGTACTTCTGCATGACAGGTACTTGAAATAGCTGTCAAAAGCCCAGAAAGTCGTTATTCAAGCAGTGAATATGACCTCGGGGCACTAAAATCAGGTCGTTATTCAGATAGTCGTATCCGAAGTTAAATGTATACAGTTAGATGGGACTTTGCTCTGGGCATGGAAATTCTGTCGTTATTCGCGAATTGTCGTTATATCCGCAGTCGTTATTAGCGAAGTTGACTGTATATTAATTATTATCACATCCACAAGAAGGTGCAGTATCTCATTCGCAAACACCAGCTGAATACCTACATCATATACAAGAATGCTCGGCTCAGCCCGCGGGTTTGCAGGTCTGCTTTGGAGAAGCCTCTATGCCGCAAATTCGTTGATCCAGAGCAGCCAAGGAGAAGGGGTAGACCGAAATCAGCTTGCGTGGCATGTACAGCAGGTGCTGTTGCATGTGCTACACATGAGTTGTATGTGTTGCTTGTAATTATCATGCACAGTCATCTAGTGCCTTGCTGTGCCATCGCAGGACACTCCATCCATGTACGGCTTACCTGCACATGACACGCGTTCATGATCAACCAACCTATGTGGTCTAGCTTGTCATCGTATTGTACACATCCGGTTCTGGATTCTTCTATCTTCTTCTACTGCTTCTAGCACCTTCCGTCCAGTTCTGATAATCTGGAGTGATTTGCATTTCTTTGTTCTTGTTGTTTATGTTCCCAAGAAGTGAAGTCAAAATAGAATGCTCTCGCATGTTGGGTGTGTGTGCTCGAGATAAGTAACAAAGTTCAAGGATCGAACTTTACAGGTGCAATGGACTGCACCCGCCGAAATGTAGTATACCACCTCGAGTGCCGGTGTGGTGATGACTATGTGGGCGAAACAGGCCGAAGCGTGGCGATACAGCGTTCAGCATTTATTCCCAATCGAACATGGTTGAATAAGCGGTCGCGTGCTCATGCGTACACCAGTCACCTGGTCACCGTACTTGCAGGGCCACAACTTTCACACCAAGGTTCAACTGAAAGGTTCAAAGATTCAACTCGAGTGACAGGAAGACGTCCAAACAGGCTGCAAGTAAGTTCTGCTGCACCGGGTGCGTCCTGCAACCTGCAACCCCTCGAATGAAATCGACTGCTTTTATATCACTGCAACATTTGACACTCCCCCCCCCCCCCCCCACACACACCCACACCCGTTGCGAAACACTTTTACAATTGCAAGTCCACATAACACAACTTCAAATGTTCTCGTGTATTTATTTGCTACAAAACCAACTTGCAACTGTATGCATGTATGTGTCTCTGGGCTTGGATGAGTCATGGACGCTGATGGCTTGGACTGCTCCATTTGGAATGTGGATGCCTGGCAAGGAAGTGACTTTAGGATGGTAATGGCGCACCTACATTATCTTACAAAATAATATCCCATTTCACAAGCAATGGCACATAGTGCTGTGAAGTGGGGATTGTATGAGGAGCGCCGGAAGAGCGGAGATATAACAGTGTAATGCCAGTCCCAAAGCTACTTTCCCTTGCTCAAGACAGCAAAAGCAACCATCACGGATATGATTGAAAAATAATGAATGGTAACTCAGTCAAGAGACTGGAAAGGAAAGTGGCAGGGGATTTTTTTGGTGCATCACGTGCACACATGTGCAAATACAGTTCACGGCTTGAAAATAGGGTACAGATGAGAGATCTGTAACGTTCCTGACCGAACATCTATGGGAAAAATCTGAGAAAGATCGGAGAAAGCCTATGCCTAATCCCACCAGAAAATCAATACTCTAACTAAAGGCTACTCCAGAATCCTTGCCGCCAATCATACGTGAATGCGCTCTTAGAGAAATGAAAGGAGTGCCTATATCCTCCTGTGGATGCGAACAGCCCAACAAGGAATTTGTTATGCTCTGGTGCTGTCGACGAAGGACCCACGCAGTACGTCAAAAGGTAGTGCTCATAAATCACCTACCAGCACTCAGTGTGCAAACACGACTTGAAACTGACACTGAATTACATGAAAACTGATATAGTCATCACGTCCAAAGAAGACCATCGAATACCCCGTCCAGTGAAGCATCCTCGTTCACTTCAAGACTGGTTCTGAAGCACAAACGAGAGTGAGCACAGAGAACAGAACCAGAGCTAAGACGACCAAAATGAGCCATTGCTAACGCTGGTAATAGAATGATAATTTATCTGTAAACGTTTTTCAGCATTGCCACCAGATCTAGTGAATTGGAAGGTTTCCAAACCTTTAGATTTTGGACATACCCCTTGACAAGAGGCCAAATACCTGGAGGTTTTGTAACTTTGTAGCAGCACGCGGTGCCCAGGGTTCTCTTTTCTTTTCAGTCCACGATCAGTTACGTATTTACATGCTGTAGACTGTATCTGTGCGGCAATATCGAGCCATGCAAAATGTTAGCAGCTTGTGATTGGACGAATACAGTTTCTCACCTGCTGTTTTCCTAGAACTCTGGGCACTGCGTGCTGCTTTGAGAATATGTTTGTCACTTCTCAGTGTTACACCTTGCCTAGTTTCTTGCGCCCATAATATACCGTGTAAATATTACTAGTAAATTTACCATGTCAATTACAATATCCAGTATCACCTTCTCTGAAGAGCCTTTGAAAGGCGAAACAGCTGCCGGAAGGAAATGTTTTACTCGTGACCCCTTTCGTGGTTTAAAATTATTGGTTGGAGTAATGGCTACCGAGGGTAGCAATGGTCGGCTTTAGAGCGCATGGAGAAGGAGAGTTTGTTGGCTTCACCAACAGTTCCAGTCAAAAAGCCGGACGGCTCGATCCGAGTATGTGCTGATTATTCTTGCACTACTAATGCACATTCACCTTTGGAAAGTTACCCCTTACGTACCAGTATATATCAGTCAGAGTGTCACATGCCCAACTAGACTGTCATGCCCCTAGTTAACTTTACCTAACATTAGCCGGACTGCAGAACATAGATGATGATGTTGCTGCCATAGATGTTGCTGCCCCCTCCATCACATATCTGTACAAAATTAACAACACCATGTCGATACTCAGGCACATTAAGTCTACTCTCACATCTCTATGATGATGATGATAGCTTGCTGGAAGTCCAGCGGAGAAGCAAATATACAGCAGGGTTCTAGCCAGGGGGGGGGGGGGGGGGAGAGGTTCAGCGCTGGTGTCGATGTGGCATATGTGAGCATTCATAAATCGGCCCCGTCCCAAGGGTGATTGGAATGGGCAGGCCAGGGGCGAAACTCACATCCCTTCACGTTCCAGTTACCCGCGTTGCTTCCCCAGATGCTGCAACTCCCTGATACCGGTCAATGCAGTGCTGCTCAATGAAATCCGGGGTGAGGAATAAAACAGTGTCGGGTGAAGTCTTTGAAGTCAGGTACAGCTATATGATGTATACCTTGCGGCAGATTATGTTTCCTTGGTGAGGACCGTTTCCATAGTGTGTGTACTTCCCCTGTGATGTATACCTTGTATAGTTGTTCTACATTTTAGTCTTGGCTCACTTTCCCAGCAAAGATGCAAACATGGTACATGTAGTGATGTTAGAGATTGTGAATGTACTACCTAATATGTGCACATTTCCTCCACGGATGGGCAACTTGATGCTTCGTTATCGCTCTTTGTCATCTCTTTCTGTTCCATATGTGGACAATCCTTCCTAGACCTGTAAACCCGGATACTCGCACGTGGAGTTGAACTACATGCTGGATTTGTACAAAATGCATGTGTATGCACTTTGTGCTTGGGCATTCTAGGTATTTCCTAGGCAGTCACTGACTTGCTTACCGACTAATCTGATTTGCTTCCAGGAATGTTTCGACCCAAGAGGGATGAGACCCCGATGCGGCAGAGCTTATGTCAACGTGTGGTCAGGGATGAACAGAATGTATGGTAGGGAAAGCGCTCGTCATTAATCTGGAAAAATTGGTCTATTCAGACAGTCATGATGTATCCAAGGGCAATGGTTATATGCACTTGTACAGTTACTTGCATGCATGGGAACTGAAGATACAACAGTCCAACTATGATTGGAAATGTGAAGAAGGATTGTACTTACGGTTGGCGGATGACAGTAGTACTGGCAGATACTGGAAACTTCACTTCATGCTGCTCAGGGTTGTTCACCATAGTATGTTCCACAAGGCCGGGATGCAAGCTACCCTGGGCACTGTTGTAATTGCTCTCTGATAACATGACATGGCACCCTGCTGCCTTAGTCCAGGCAGCCGAGGTTTCTGTCATCTCCGGCGACTGCCTTGGTGGATAGGATTGTACCTGAGTGCTACGCTGCGCCGGTGTTGCAGTCTTCTGGGTTTTCCGAGTATTGACAAACGTAAACTGCTTCCTGGGCTGCTGCTCACGGTGATTAGTGTCTGAATGGGGCTCATCTGGTCTCTTGAAATGGACTGGGTTTGCCGATATGTGCTTTTGTGTTGTTTGCTGTCTGGATTGCGTGTCTGGCATGTTTTCATCATTGGCATTCCAAAGGTGGTTGTGTTGTTCTGCCGCAGCTACGCTTGGTGCCGGGCATTTCCCAGACTGTGATGAATTCAATACGGATGTTGCGCAACCACTCTTAGCACCTGGTGGCCTTGGCAACGCATGACTTGCTAGCATGCGGTGAGCAAGGGGAGAGCGAGAACGAGGTGGTACAACGGCAACCGGTGCCGGAGGGCCACCGGTCCTCACCAGGGTGTAGCGATTGGTGTTCTGCACCAGTGGACGCATCTCAGCCTTGCCTGATGGGCCTAATTGGCTTTGCGGATCGACGTTCTCAGCGTGTTCTCCCCGCTTACGGTTCATGATGCCTTGGAAATGTGGCGGAATGCTGTTGACTGATGGACGGGATGCTGCCACATCCTGCCTGGTGTCCTCACTGGAATCATTCAGCGTGCATAATGCTACTGGCCTTTGTAGCTGCTCACGGCATTTTTCCTGCCGCCCTGCATATGAGTGTGTGGCGAATGAAGCATGGCCGTGAGTGTTGATGCGTGCCGCACCAGCTGATGACAGTGTCCGTGCTCCTCCGCTGTTAGCACAGTATAGGTCTGGATGCCCGGCGTGTCCGGACTGTGCATGTTGCGTTGTGACAGGATAGCTATCTGGGAACAGGTAGTTAGTACTCTGCTGGTCATCCTCCCTACCCATCATCATGTCAATCTCATCGAGTTGGTGCATGCTCTCAGCTTGCTGCTTGGAGAATCCCACATCGGATTGATCAGTATCAGCAAATCCATCAGATTGATGTTGATAGCATCCAGGCATTGATCTTGGTTCTGATAGATTGCCCCGAATACCCACAGGGTGAATTTCGGGCGAAGTCGGAAAGGAGTCATAACCGCTCAATTGACTGGCTTGGATTCCACTGTCATCGTTGAGGTGGTAATCGGCAAGACTCTGTGTCGGAGCAACACGACGATAGCCGAACCTCTCGTTAAGATTCACTGCTAGTTCTGAACCATGCGTGTTGTCTCTCCTCGATGACAGCTGAAGGACGCGTGCACACACACACACACAAACACACACACACACACACACGTGTGCACACACACACACACACACGCACACACACACACACACACACACACACACACACACACACACACACGTACACAAGCAAACACAAACAGCACTGAGAATACTGCATAGTGGTGTAAATTGTGCGACTGGCATCACTTCCTGGACGTTTGTGCACATCACACGACATGCACCTGATCTTAAACCATGTCTAGTACGACTCGTACTATTGCTAAACAGGCCCACCGGAACCGGTCCGGTTGGTCAGGTTATCAACTTATCACCGGACCAACTTTGTAGCTACCAACACATGTTTACTGCTGAGGAGAGCCTACGTCCCCGCCATATTATACACAAAGTATGAAAGACTGTGGTAAGGCCAGACCAATTGAAACTGCTTCCGGTGGTCCTGCTAAAGTAGCCAGCTGCATATCGTGCATCTGGCTCGCAGACGTGCAAAGAAACTATGAATATCTCCATTTATAGTGACTTCTACACAAAGAGACATTTACCCGCAAGCGCTTTGCAGGTGTCTCCGGCATCTTATCTTGTTTGGAGTGAAGCTGATCCAAAAAGTCATGAACGTTGGGAGTCTGAGTCACAATGGGCCTGCTGTTATAGTCTGGAGACAAGCAGAGGTAAAAGACAACATGTGCTTTCATATGTGTGGACATGTGTGTGTGTGTGTGTATGTGTTTTCAAATTTTGATGCAGTGCTCATCTTCCAATATTAGTAGCATGTTCAAAGACCTTGAAGATCTTGTTTTCATTCCACCAGGGGCGTCACAGGGTGGCTGGGAGTGGTACGACCGGGGGTCCGGGGGTGTCCCCCGAGAAAAAAATAAGGATTTTTCGGCTGACAGGCCACGTTTTAGCACTCTACAGCCGCAAAGGAGGGTTTCCCTAGCACTTATTCGACAACCCCACTCCAGCTCCAAAAACATACTTCTCATGGATTTTTGGTATTTTCTGTACATCGTAGGTAGCCAAGCAAGGCAAATGGAACCCATTCAATGATTCAGGGCCATCATGGCCATTGCCCTCGAAAAAATCGCAAAATCCGAAGTACAAGCGTGCTGCGCGTTCTAGCGCCTATGCAAAAACGTACATGTATGTCGTGTCCTGCAAAAGTCTGCCGCGTCGCGTACACTATGTACACGTCCGGCCTGGACAGTCGCGAAGTAATTATTTTAGTTGCTTTTAGAGAGAGAAGAAGATCCTTTGTTTTTGTTCGGTGGGATTGAAAGATCTGCCAGTGGACCGGAGAGGTACAACAATGGATGCAGAAGAAAGCGCTTGCGGAATCTTCTCTGTCTTCGTGGCAACAGGACTTTAGTTTGCGAGAGACTTTCGTCCTGTCGTCGCGGACGAAATTCTTGTTGCCGCTACCAGAAAACTCGGGGAACGAAACGATCGTAAATCGTTATAATATAGGTGAAGCGGGTCGTGTCGGTGAACAGCTGCAGAATATTCTGCCGCCGTGGAGCAGCAGTCCAAACACTTTTCAGCTTCGGAGAATGAAGCGCTTCCCTTTTCCGTACCGTTGACAAGCGCTGCGTTCGCGGGTGTAATGCATTTTCGAATCCGCTTGCAGTAGATCGTCAGGAGCCAGAGGTACTAGGTAGGTGTCGTTGTGGAAAGAATATAATTATTATGTTGTAGCTGACAAGTGACATACATGTAGTGTCTCTTGACGTGCTGATCGCCATTGTAACATGGTAGATCTTGGAAAATTTTAGTTCTGGACCCAGTGATTGCCGCCAGCTCAGCTCTGTTTCCGTCAAGTTTGCAGCGAATGCGTCCGTGAGGAATCCATCGTCTGGTTGTCTCTAACCGTGACTCCAGCCGCCTATCGTAATGGATAGCCGCCTGGAGTCTTGGGCAATAGCTAGCTGCTAGTGCTAGGCATCAAGTCTGTATGCTCCTTGCAATGAAAGTAACAGTTGCGATGTTTTGTACAAGTCCGAAGATCCTTGAATTTTTTTATTGCTTTTTCGGATGAATTGGGTGGACCATCCTGGACGAAAAGTGGTACGACCATGGTCGTAGTGGTCGTACCGTGTGTGACGCCCCTGACACTACATGACTGTATACCTATGGTGAATAGCTGTGCAACTGAGCTAGCATGGATCTCAAAATTGAGGGAGTTCAACGGACAAAGAAGCCTAGAGTGTCACCCATAGAAAACAAACCCACCTGCAGAGTCGCTTTTTCCACCAATGTTGTTAGAAGTCTTTTGCTGCCTCATCTGTGTGCATACGAATAGGTGCAGGGCCATAGGCAAACATTGGGCACTATTCACATGTACAGGTAGACTCCCTCTAATTCGAATACGGTGTAATTCGAACATTCCGTGTAATTCGAACTTTTTCGTCGTACCGATCTTCTGCAAGTCACTTCAAGTCAAATTCGAAGACATAATTCGAAGTACGAAAAGTGCGCCCGATGGATAATTCGAACTCTGCCTTCGTACAGAAGAGCAGTTCACAGTACAGTGACTATGTCCTTCGAGCGCTTATTTCGAAGTGAGATGGAGTTGCTCTACTCGTAATTCGAAGTTCATTTTTCTCCTTCTCTAGCCAAGATCAAGAGTAACTCAAAAATTGATCCCTGGTCCGCTCCAGGATCGACAATAGCGTTGAAGAAACCCACCTTCTCTCGAAATTTGATCCAAGCCCGTGCAAGACAAAGTGCAAAGATTTGATTGAAGACGACTTCTTCCAGGTGGTTGGCTCCCTTCGCGGATCTCAATGGCTTGTCATGCCGCGCCAGTTCATGCGCAAAGAAGTTTGGGACTGAACAACAACTGGAAGTCGTAAAACTTGCCTATGCCTATGCTCCACTTCCGTTCTTCAGAACGACGTGCTGCTCTCCGACGGGCTTTCATGACGCAGAGAAGGCAGCGCTGTTCTTTTGCGTTGACATCGTTTCAGGACAACTGCAGCGATTGAAAACTGCTTCACAGAACTTCGTAGAAGATGAAAATAATATCCAATGACTTCGTGTCGATCCAGTGTTTTGGTGAAATGAACTGATCTCGTTGTTCATGATCACCTATGTTTCGTTGATGCAAATAAAATGTGCAAAATAATCAGGACACAATTTCGAGCATTTTGACGTACATATCAGTACATGGGACTGCATTTGGATAATTAGAAGTTCCGGATAATTCGAATTTAGGGCCTGGCAATTTGAGGTTCGAATTAGAGGGAGTCTACCTGTACTAGTACACCGAGCTAGATGAACACGTGTGCTGGGTGAAATCACACGCAAGCGATGTTCCATGGAAGCATGATCCAGTGTGACACATGCAGGGCGACCCCTCAGGAGAAGGATCACATGATAAGCCTCGGCCGCATTGCAAGACTAGCTGAAAATGAGGGAAATCATCAGCGGCAGTGCCCCATCAACTATCACATTTTACACATACGGATACCAGTACCTTCTTCATTTTGGGAACACTTCTTTCTGGCTTAGGCATACTGCTGGGAGCGGAGTAGCCTGGGAACTTTGAATGATGCAGCGACGCAAACTCCATGGACATTTTAGTGGTGACGTCGAGACCAACTGCACCACACAGGAAGAAAATGGCAATAAAAATGTGACCGGAAGTATCTGATCCACTCACCTCACGGCGCTTAGGACCTACATCTGTGCCTTGATCCTGGAGAGTAGTGGCATTCCTGCGCATGCAGAGACTCAGTCTAACTGAGTCTCGTGCGAACCGTGAAAAAATATCTTTACCAGAAGCATGAATCTGAAATCTCTTCTGCTCAAAAGTGCATGTGTCTGTCTCTCTGTCCCCAGCAAGATTGTTCTGTTCTGCCTTGTTGAGAGTGAGTTTGTTATTTTCCTTCTGCTACCGTATTCTCTCAGTATAAATCTATCGCTTGTTGCTAAAACATATGCCTTTGGCGACTGTGCGGCCAGATGCACTCCACGGTACATCCCATGCATGTTACACAGTACACCTGAGATGCAATCTGAGATGCGTGTACCTGCACGGTGTAGTATGCATGTGCAAGATACGCATGGCTGTGCATAGTGCGTACACTGACACCAACAGGCACATAAATGTGTCATGGCCGCACTTTGGCGGGTTTGTGACTTGGCTTAGATCAGTCTAGTGGCTACCCAGGTAGACGACCAATATAGTCGCCATCCAAGTTGCTAGCTCACACAGAACGACAGGTTTCTAATTCCACTTGAACAGTGTTTATTTGAACCATTGCAGTACTAGATCGAAAGATCAAGTGTGTAGAGTCAAAAGACCCAAAGCAGGAGAGAGTCGGAGTGACTCTCTCAGAATCGAGAGGAGTAGTGAGCTCCCCCGAGAATCGAGGATGAATGTTAGCAAAACAGCTCCTTATATATGCTACATTATGTGATCAAAAGTATACAGCGGCAAGAATGCGTAAGGATTATTTCTATATTACAAACAGTGGTGCAATATGTGCAATCAGCCAACTAGAATAGTACAAAGATCAATCAATACGGGGAGCTCGCTCACCCACATTACATGAAAGGACTCCGAGGCTCTTCGTGCGACGGGGGCCTGGAGTACGCTGTCGGAAGTTGCTGCAGCCAGAGCACGCCGCCTTGATTGATGGTCACCCCTCATCTCCTGCCCGTAGGCGTAGGCTCTTCCCTCTCATTACCCCGTAGGGTGCTTCACGGTCAAGCCGTGACCTCTCCCAAAAAGGGATAACGGAGTCCGCAGTGCGCGAAGCACTTGCAGGACCCTTTACGTCGTACGACGCGAGAAGAGGTGCCACGCTTGCTCGACTAACAAAGGTATCAGCTCCCTTGCAGGACTAAGCAGGGTCCCCTCAAGCTCAACAGTGTAGTGAGTACAATGCTGACGACTTGTACTGAAGGTGTTGCCGACGTACGACAACACTTGCGACTCTAGGCCACGAGTTGTAAGCCATGATTGCTCAACTAACGAAAGTGCCAAATCCTTCGCAGGACTAATCATGGTTCTTACAGAACTCTAGAATATTTCGGAGCCCAGCTTTTGGCTGCTGAACTCAATGCATGGTCGCTGTCACGACGAGTCTGATCCGGGTCATGACAAATGTAGCTGAGTCGACAGCAAGTGAGCAGTAAGAATCAGGGATAGGGATAGGAGCTAGCAGGGGTTTTAACACTGCATTACCCCACAAAATATGATCCCAGGAGTTCCCATCAGCTGTCGATACATAATGTCACGTGTACAGCCGTAAACTCACCATACTCCGTATTTATCAGCTGCACGTTAAGCTGATCCGACTTAATAGCACGCTGAAAAGACACCGTCCTGGTCCAGGTGCCCGTTCTCAATAGCATGTTCAACCTGGTTGGCAGGCCACAGGATTCAATGCACACGTGAATTTAATAGCACTTGCTGCAAACACAAAGCACAAGGGCATACTGGGAACAAGCATAATGTATTCAAAACCTCCAATGCAAACCTCCTGCTCTGCAAGGTGCGAGGTGAAGGTGCGCAATTGTGACTGGGTCATGTGAGGCGAGCAGACCGCAAGTGATGGGACTAAATCGACAGTAATGTCAAATTATCATTGGTGCCACTGACTGATAGTGGGTTGCAAGGACATTGAAAAACTAGAATACACGGCATGTCATTCCATATTGCGAAAGACAACTTTCAAAAGAATGACAAACTTTGCTTACTCCATGGCGTGGCACCTGCACTTACCAAATTCGCTGCTTGAAGACCACTTGATTGTCGCCATCACCAACAACTAGGACAGAACAGTGGTGGGGTGAAATTACTGCCCTGTTATCTAGCAGATACTGGAAGTTCTTCAAGTTCACCGTCAGCTCAACGGTGGCGTCTTCAGCCAATGCTTTCCCAATCTGATATAGAATAGTGTGTGAGAATAGCAAGTAAGCAAGTGTTACTTGCAGTGTGTTTCCTAAAGCCTATAGTTCTTCGAAATCATTGTGCTTGCCCTAGTACCCAGTTTTATCCGTTACATGCTAAGCACCTTTGCTATACATGTATATGCACGAGCGCAGACCGCATTCATCTACATTGCACACTGTCAACAACATGTCTGGTTGTTTTGCTTGGAAAAGTCCGGAACCATATCTCTGAGAACATGAATTTCGTGTACATTTGTCAGGCTTGACTGCACACACATGTATATGTACAACGTCTGACACTGCACAGCATTGGGTAGTGAAGTCCGATCTCACGAATAAAGCAAAGTCAACTTTACTGCACAGCCTAGTGTTCATAGTACGAGAGTCACGTCACCCTGTACTGTGACATTCATGGGGTTGGATTTCACTCCCCACCACTGTAGAACTGATGTGTGATCACACATCATACCTGTTTGCAACACAGTCCAAGCCTCGGAAGAGCAGCCACCAGCCCTAGAACCTGCAGCACAAGTTGATAAAGAGGAGAATCAGAAAGTGGTGGTGGTGGCGGCGGTGGGCAAGTGAGTGATAGAACGCATGAGCGGGTGAGAAAATGAGAAAAAAAATCACAAAACTACAGGAATAGTATCTCTCCAAAAGAGCGAGAGCATTGGTAGTTACTGAAACTAGATGTATAGCGGGGCAGCTATTTCTCTCAGAAACAGAACAACTTGGCAATGCACGCTTACTTGGTTGCCAAATGGTGGGTTTCGGTTGACAATCTGCATAGACACACACATACACGCGAGCGTACACACACAGTCAGACACACATACATGCACACTCACTTGTATTTGTACTTGCTCACTGCCAAAACTGGTAACGTGAGTCTCCCCGGGAGAGAGGAGAGAGATTCAAAAAGAAACTTGGAAAGATGACTCAATTGTCCATTGAATCGACCAACAGCCGACACCCGCTGAAATCCCCAAACTTTGGGTGGACTTGAAAGTGATCCCACTAATGGGCTCACCACACCTCAGCAAGTGGGTGAGGACAAGGCGCAGAAAAGAGAAAAGGATTGACTGCATCAGGGTATCCGTCCCGGGATCCAGCTGCACCCCCCCCCCCCCCCTCCACACGCACACACCATGCTCACCGAAAACGGAACCCGTACGAACAATGCCAGGTTGCATACATATATCTGCACAGCAATGATGTTCCACTGCTCTTTATCTGCTATGTACACATAGGCACATGACTACATGACTACCGACTACAGTTCTATCCTCAGGGAGATGTGCAAAAGCATGCAGAAAGCCGGGAATTTTAGGCAATTTCTTGTAACATTATCAGGGGGACGGGAGGCCTACAATTGAGTTACACTGTACACAATCGTGTTACACGAAGGCTTGCTATGTCACCAATTTACCATTTCAATCCGGCGTGGGTTAGTGTCTTCCAGCAGTTCCCAGGTGGTAAGCCCAGCATGGCTCAGTGCAGTGGCCATTGTAATACCTGCACCAGCAAGGGGGAAAAGAAAAAAAAGAGAAAAAGAAAACATGCAGCACAGCCAATGTACAGGAAAAGTTGATTGGCAGTTGTACAGCAGACTCCAATAAATCATCACAGATCACTTGGGACCCGCACCTCGTCCAATGTAAAATGCATTTCAAAACGAGCTGGGTCGTGCATCCATGATCCTCCAGCCCCGAGTGATCTGTCAAGATACCGCATCTACTGTACGAAGCAGACCGTGGACAGCTTGCTCGCGTGACCCCTACAGATCTGATAGCCACTTTTAATATGAACAATTAATCAATTATCCATGGAAGGAGTATGTACTCCTTGCATTCATGAAGGTGATAGCCACTTTATTCCAGATATGCATGCGGAAAAGACAACCACAGATTGGGGAAGCAGTGTCGCGAACCATGTACATACCCTTTACATAAACCACTCGAAGCAGACCATATTTTCCTTAGTGCCCAATTTTCTTGTGGATCAAGACTGAACTGAATATTTACAAGGGGAGAGCGATAATATAGGTGAGTCGGAGTGCATGCCTGTAGCAGTAGTGTGCCGTGAAAGTGTCTTGCGTACAGCGTCAGCAGAAATATACAAGCGATGAATATACAAACGCATCGAAATTAGCTCCCAAGGAGTAGCGAAGAATCAAAGAGAAGCAAGAAGAGCACCAAGTTGTGGAACTAAAACAGCTCCACGTGCATGTAGCTGAAAGGGTGACACATAAAGATACGCACGGTGCAACGAGTCCAACTGTGAGCATGAAAATGGATAGTGAAGGCCATCAAAGATGCCGATAGTCGTACACACAGTCCGTGTTGGATGTCGGTGCGTGTGCAAGCCAAGGTGCATGGGTTCAAACTGAATCAAAGGGTGCCCGGAACGGAAACATTAGAAATGCAACGAAGTGCAAGGTGAGAGAAAGGGTGCCCAGAATTGAACCTTAGATATACAAACGAGTGCAAGATGAGAAAAAGGGTGTCACAAAGGGATGCGAGTGATTGAACGTACAAATCATGCACTGAACAAGGATACATGTATACGTAGCTGTGAATTCTTGGTTATATACATGCATTGTGCTCGTGACTACGAATAAATCCGATCGCATTCGCGACACTCCCGCCCGCTGAAAGTGACTACCATAGTTATGAAATAGCATACACGTGAGTGAACAATTACAACTGTGAAATGAAGTGTTGAAAGAGAAAAATTGAGTGGAAACAGTTATTTGTATCAGACTGAATTAGTGTTAGGTAGGTAATCATGGTTTGCATTTCATCGAGCCTTCGTTTAATTTAAAAACTCAATAGGTCCAACGTAATCTATGCCTGTGAAATCATACGGTAGCAACTCCATTATTCTTTCCTTGTGCAAAAGGAGGGGGTTTCGGAAGTTGAAACGGGCCACCATCGTGCTGTTTACATGACAAACAGTGTTGTCGTTGTGTAAATTGTATCCATTTCGATTCCGCTCGTTGGTATTCGTCACGTGAGATGGTATTGCCAACCGATTTTTTTTGGATTTTATCAATAAATTTCTGTACGTACGCTGTGACTCTGACTAGTTTCCCGAAAGAAGTGAATTGCTCCGGGTCCATGCCTGCTGGTGATCCGTCAGGACCCTCCCCCTGCACGAGAATAGCAGTGACAGGAGTATCCTCCATTGGATCGTGGCTTGTCGTTGGCAACGTAGTGAGTACATGTACTGCATCATCCGTAATTCCATGATACTCCGTACTTCCTGATGGTAAATACCCGAACGTTGATTTTACCATGTACATGCCATTCTGCAGTGCAATACTGCCGTCCATTATGAATCTGTGATAGTAATCTACACCAATCAGTATGTCCACGTCACACTTCTCTGGTTCCTGTACAGGTAGTTCCGCAAGAGGCAGGTCATGCAACTTCATATCATTTGGAAGCGGGAATCGTTGAATTGGGTGACACAGGATTGATGTGACATTTGCGCAGACCTCCGTGCAAGATTTGTCTGGTTGTTCAATTCGTAGATTGACTCTTGGCATGGTTTCGATTTTCCGTTTTTCGTTACCAAAGCTTGACACTGAGATTGTGTCCTCGCCAATCTTGTTACATTGCAGTTTGTGGCATAGGGATTCAGTGATAAAGGATCTAGTTGCTCCGGTGTCGAATAAAATCCGAGCATGGCATTCCTTGGTTCCACTTTCATTTGATACTTCTGTAGCTGCAGTTTGTAAAACCGTTTTCTTGTGATCTGAGATTGCCACTCCCATTGTTGTTTGAATTGGGGATGACACATTCCCTGTGCCAAATTTCTCTGGACAGATACTGCAATGGTGTGTTGTGCGTTTGCAGTAGTAGCATGGTTTAGTGCGCTCACATGCCCTTGCACTGTGTCCAGATTTCAGGCAAATGAAGCACCGTCCATTCAATTGATCTTTTCTGGTTTCTGCATCTGTGTACCTGGTACACTCATCAGCGAAATGCGATTGTCCGCAGTAGATGCATTTACGTTCCATTTTTATCGTGTTTGCTGCCATTGAGTGAGCTACGTGTGTCGTTGGGTTGTATGTTCGATCCCTTTGTCGTTCGTTTCCGCCGGTAGTTGCAGCTTCCGCTGCTTCCATTGCATCTACGTAGTGGTTCATTGCCTCACGTAGACTTCGCACTGTCCATTTTGTGGTAGTGCCTTTCTTTAATTCTAATTGAGACATAACCGATTTCGGTAATTTGGAGGTAATCAGTGGAATGAATAGTGCCTGTGACATGTCCTCATGTAGCGCACCTAGACTTCTGATGTTTGCCTCGACGTCATTCAAGAATTTCCGCAATGATTCAGGTCGGCTAGACGGTTTCTCCAAATTGACTAATGCCAAGTACCGAGCATTGATTACAACATGGTCTTTCCCAAACCGATCCATTAGCAAATCCCATGCAACCTTGTAATTTGAATTTGACAGGGCCAAACCAGAGATACATTCCAGTGCTTTTCCTTTCACGTGTGTTTTCAGGTAAGATAGCTTCTCCACATCAGACAAAGATTTATTTGCGTGAACAGTGGCAGTAAACATATCTTGAAATTCCTTAAATTTCATTACATCACCATCAAAAGTGAACAATTCCAGTTTAGGCAATTTGACCGTGTTACCAGTTTTAACGCATGCTCCGTACGCGGAGGCATACACGACCCACACACAGACACAGCAGTAGTTGGTTGGCACCACAGGGTAACTGGGCGAAGGAGCTGGCAGTGTGTAACCATGGAGGCGGCCGACCCGACAGAGGCGGGGACCGAGAGTGAGACCGAAATGGCGGCTGACCTGCCAAGGGCAGTAACCGAATAGAGTGATTCGGAGTGAGACCGAAATGGCGGCTGACCTGCCAAGGGCAGTAACCGAATAGAGTGATTCGGGAGAGTAGAGAGAATGCTGCCAGCTACTGAGAGTTCAGTGCCCAATCCCTGCTTGTTTTTGTTTAGCAGAGTGAGTTTGGAAGACGAATGAGGTTAGTAGTATAAGCGGGGTGCTACAGAATAAGAATTGTAACACAATGAAGTCGGTGTGGGTGGGTGGGTGAAAACACGGAGCAAGAGTCATGCGAGCCAATGCAACTAACAAAGAGAGCCAGGCACGAAGGCTGCTGAAGGGCGTACGTATGCAAAGCGAGCTGCTGGGAGAGTTTGCGCATGCGCACAACGGCGCATCCGTGAGCTGGCGCGAACACGCGCGTGATAGACATCAGCATACAGTGAAAACATTACGTCACCGCGTTAACATACTTTAGCTACGCAAAACTTGCATTAACGCATGCTCCGTACGCGGAGGCATACACGACCCACACACAGACACAGCAGTAGTTGGTTGGCACCACAGGGTAACTGGGCGAAGGAGCTGGCAGTGTGTAACCATGGAGGCGGCCGACCCGACAGAGGCGGGGACCGAGAGTGAGACCGAAATGGCGGCTGACCTGCCAAGGGCAGTAACCGAATAGAGTGATTCGGAGTGAGACCGAAATGGCGGCTGACCTGCCAAGGGCAGTAACCGAATAGAGTGATTCGGGAGAGTAGAGAGAATGCTGCCAGCTACTGAGAGTTCAGTGCCCAAGCTAGTTACCCTGGTGGGCCAACCAAATAAATCAGTGCTCAGAAATAACGCGAGCATTGAACGAGGAGTATAGCAGGAGCTGCTAGCAGTCAAGAAATCTAGGTACCGATAGCGGTACTGAGAGTTGGTATGTATACCGGAGGAGACATTCGTCAAGGTGCAGCGCTACTGGTCAGTCACTCACTGTGGCTAGCTTCTCTGATACTAGCCGCACCTCGGATGGCTCAACACGGATATAGCGCAGCACGGCGTCGCTGCGCCATCGCCCCATATGGCGGATCACGTGCTCTGGTACGCCTGCGATAGCTGCAGACGTGGCTGCTCCGATCCGGAATGAGTGGCTGGCATAGCTGGACGGATCTGTAATCCCACAAAGCGGTAGGAGGGTCCGCACCTCCCTCGTGACGTCCGCTCGTGCCAGAGGCTGGCCATTGTGGTAGACGAGCAGCTGATCTCTAGGAGATTGGGACTCTGCCGACACTGCCGTCAGGTACCGCACCATCGCCGTAACAGGGCAGCTGATGACATAGGTACAGCCGCCCACGTGGACTACCGTGCCCCTACCGTCCGGGTCCGTCTTTGATTGCAGCAGCGTGATGGTGATACGAAATGATTGTTGGTCCAGGGCCACGTTGCCAAACGTCAACGAGGTGAGCTCACACTACAGCGCAGGAAGCCATAAAAGGCCAGGGTGAAGGCGCACTGCAGCATTGCCTAGTCAACTGAGTGCCGCATGGAGGAAACTTGGAGGCGTTGGCAGAGTTGCCGGAGGATGGGTGTTGTGATAGGCAAACGAGGGCGGCCAGGTCCCGACGAACGGGCTATGCCTCTTAACACTCGTGACAGCAGGGACGTCGGCTGATTCGGGTACTCGAGGCCCATTTCGACGTGTAAGTTCCAGATGGCT